AAGCAAAAATTTAAATATAGAAGTTTAAGTCATTGGTAAACAATATTGTATATTCATTTGTGTTTCAGACCCGATATATCCTTATTTTCCCAAGTATATACCATTTTCTATTGGTGAGTAATAGATGGCTTAGTTCATGGGTAAAGACCAAATGTAATGAAGGAAGAGAATTTATTTTCTGTTTGCAGAAATGCACACAAAAATAGCTGACCTGTCACATTATTACCTAAACCATAATTAATGGGTTACCAAAAGTGGCCACAAAATGACAGAAATAAATGTTTTATTCCCTCAAAAGAATCTCATATTTATGGTCTAGAATAGTCTAGCTTGACTCTCAGTCATTTTCCTTACAATTGGCCTCTTAATGCATCAGAAGTTGTCAAAAGAAAGACATTGCTCCCCCTACAGTTGTCCCCTGCGCCTGGCCCACGTCCATGAGGAAGAGAGATGCCCACCCACCCTTGTTAAGCTAGAGTTGGATTCACAAGCCTCAGATGCCAGTTGTAGCACCGCCACTCAACTGCTCTGTGACCCGGGTGTTTTAACCTATCTTCATCTGTGACAAGGGAAGTAATAACTTCAGCCCATCTCACTGAAATGTAGTAAGAAAACAATGCCTCTGGAAGTTCTTTGAAAAGCTGAAAGGCCAAATATAAATGCAGATATTATTATTATTTTCATGAGGGCCTGAAATTACTCAAACTTTTGTTTCTAACTTTGAGCTTAGGAGAAAACGTTCTACTTCCTCTTACGCCTAATTTGAACAAAACACACAAAGCATCTCACTTTGATTTTTCTCCTACTTCAAGCATCAGGCTTGAAGAAGACTTTTGTCGGCCAGCTGCCAACTCATAAAATTGAAAGAGAAAATCAGAACTCTGCTCCAAAGCAGGAGGTAGGAAGAACAGGAAATGTTGCTGGAACCTTTCTGGTCTCCAGGAGGAAACTGAGCAGGACCAGATACAAAGATAACTACAATTGTGCAACCTATTAGACTCCTGAAGAGAACCAGGTTCAGTTTAAAATTGGACAACAGTGTGTCTTGACTATGTAAAGCTGATCTAGAAGCAGTCACAACTGTTGAGGTAGAAATCATACAAGCTTTGCCCCAAGCCTAAGAGATGACATGTGAGGGTCTTCCCAGCTCGGGGACTTGTCTCCATGAAGTCTCCTCTACCTGGAAGACTCCTTTCCTCTTAACCTTATTGTCCTTTCTCAGGGAGGTCTTCCCAACCAATGCCACTCCCCCCACACCCAATCCAGATCACAGCCAGTGTAAGAACTCAGAGTATCCTGCACTTCTCCATCATAAGCATTGATCATTGGAATTATCAGTTCATTATTCTGTTTGATTAGTGTCTGTTCTGTTTGCCCTACCCCAATAAGCTCCCTGAGGACTGGAAATGGTTTGATTACATAGTATCCCTAGAATGGAGCAGAACACCTAGCTCAGAGTGGGCCCTCATTAAATATTTATTGAATGAATGATGAAAGTAATACTATCTGAAGAGAACTCCAAAGCAGATTATCTCAGATCACAAATTATTTCCAGGTAGGCAAATTTATACAAACTTATGCTATTACAATAAAACCCTGAATTTAGTACTGCTCAGGAAGGACAGATTGCAAGTGGAGGGAAACCATGAGGGGGGTTAATAAACCAATTACTATAACTTAGTGGTAAGGAAATAAGTTGCATATCCTGAGTAAGGAATCTTTGTGGACTGGATCATTTACACGGTCCCAACTGCCCATGTCTGGATGTTCTGAAGACGAAACATGAAAAGGGCAAAGCTATTGCTTCTCAGGCTTGAAGGCATGAGCCCACAATCAGTAGAAATTTCCTTCTGAACCCGTGTCACGTGACAGGACAGAAGGCTGTGTGATGAAGCCACTCAGTCTTTTTCAAGCTATCAGGACAGCTGCGAGGGTACACAGGCAAAACAGCAGCCAGTTTTGCTATGTTCTGCTTACTTTCTTCAGTTCTAAAAAGTTGAAAAGTATGACTAACTTGGCATTCATTCATGTGAGTGTAAATAAATCAGGAAGAGAACATTTTCAAAAAATATCATTCAGATACTACAGCAAAGTAAACCAGTTAATGTTCTTCATCTTTATCAAGCTATACTCCAAGAGATCACGCTTTTGGATAAAGGTCAGTCCCCTCCTGGCATTTTTTTTTTTCTTGTGCACTCACTTATTTACACAATTTGGTGCAGTTTTCAACAAAATGCTTTCACTTTAATTTTTACACTGTGACTATTCTATGGAACATGTACTTAAATTCCATCATCCTCACTAAGTGGCTTGAATTTATTATGACTTTCTGGGTGCTAAATCTACACTAAATTTGTTTTAAATTTGTATTAAATGTAAAGAACAGAATAAGGATGCTGAGTAATGAATATCATGTCTTTCTGGGGCTTTTAAAGCTCTAGGGTTTCTTTTCTTTCCTTCAAAAGGTTGTACACAATAAATTACATTGCAAATAAAATGAATTAAGTGAAACTGAGAGGTGAGAGAAAAAAAAAAAAAGAGGCACCATCTTCTGTATAGGATCTTTAATGGAGGATGCTTTGGGACTATCAACTTGGAAAGAAAAATAAATAAATAAAAATCTATTCCATACCAATTTTGCAGACTTCATCTTTTTCTTTGTTTTCATATAAGTAACCCTGCTCAATGTTTTATCTTATGTAAGATCTGTTATTCTTCTACTGTGTCCTAATATTCTACAATCAAATTCTAACTCCTTACAGGCCGAAGAAATGAAACAATTTAAAGGCTGTTTGTGTAGTAACTTCAAAATAACAATCAGGGCCAGCCGAGTGGCGCACTGGATAGTGCGCCGCTTGGGAAGTGCGGCGGCGCTCCCACCCGAGGGTTCAGATCCCACATACGGACCGGTTCCTGCTCACTGGCTGAGTGAGGCGCGGGGGCAACACCGAGGGTTGCGATCCCGTTGCCGGTCCCCGGTCCGGTACGGGGGCAACACTGAGGGTTGCGATCCGTTGCCGGACACGGAAAAAGACAAAAGAAAAAAAAATAATAATAATAATAACAATCAGCAGGGCACTTTTTCTTATGTATCATTAGCTATACAACTCCCTCTTTACTTACTTTTGCAATCGCTCTTTCTACTACTCGCAGAAATCCTAAAAGATCAGATAATAAACACCCAAAGTGGTCTCTATATTTTTTCAATTTCATACTCAAAGCCCATCTCAAGCTATGAACTGCCTTCATCCCTGACATTGTTTCAAATTCAATAATTTTATTTTTCCTTCAGGAAAGTAAGAACAAGTCATGATTGAAGAAGAAACTGCCATTTGTTTCCGTTTGTGGGATCTCTCACTTCATTTAGTTGAAGCTGGGAGTGCAGGCCTGGGTTTACTCCATGCTGGGAAGGAGTCAGTTTTTTCTCTATTATGGTGAGCATCTAGCAGAGTTCCTTGGATGTAGAAAATGTTCAGTGTAAATTAAACAAAAGAATGGGTGAAAAAAAGAATAATACCATTTTCATGGTATTAAAATGAATAATTTTCCTTTCATTATCTCACTACAATCTGAAACCCGTTGTCAATCGGGCCTCCTATAGAGAAATAGACCATGGCATAGAGAAATGTGGCTTTAGAAGAGTTTAGGGGAAAAAAGGTCCTGTGCTGAAGCTTCACGTGAAATATTTTGTCTGGGTGACACTTGACAAGCTTCTCCATGAGGAGAAAGGATCGTTTTGGAGTGTGAGGCAAAGAAAGATGTTCTCAGCAGCAGAAATATTAAAAATGCTTTCATTTAGGCTGGGCAATGACCTGTCTCAATCAAATCACCACCCCCAACCTTCTTGGTTCACTACCCTGTTAAGGAGGTAATAGAGTGACTTACTCTGAAAGAAATCTTTGCTTTTATCTGATCCACAGTTGAATCTCGTATGCCTCTCTTATTTTTTTCTTTGCTTTTACTTTTTTCTCTCAATAACCATGGAATTTTCCCTTTGGTTTCTCTTCAAGGGGTCCTAGTGTTGACGGGGCGAGGGAATGACTGTCTATTTCAGTCTGCATTAATTAAAGTGGCAAGTTCCCGGCTTCTCCATGGTGTGGCTCTAAGGGGCTGCTGCAACCTACCATCCAGTAGATGTGCCTGTGGGTCAGGGTCCGTAGTAACTGACAGCCCGTCCGCTTGCAGTGTGAGTTAAGGGGTTTCCCCATGAAACAGTGACATCACGGTAAGGTAATCTCTGTCCCGTGTGCTATGTGGGAGCACAGATTTCCTTTAAAGTCCAACTCTGCAAACAAGAATAACCTTGACAAAGACCCTTCAGACGCCTATCAAGGCTCAGGAACCTTGCCAATCACTTACAATTCCCCTTTGACATTTCACAGATACCTTATTTGTGCTCGAGGAGGGGGTCTCCCTTCACCCCGGCACGCGAATCCCTGCTCTGCGCTTCGGGTGCAGTGGGGGCTTGTCGGATGAGCCACTGGGGAAGTATGCGCCCCCTCCTTCTTTGGTCCACTCGGGTCACCTTGACAGAGCGCTTCCCTGTCCCCCTGAGGCTACTTCGGTGGTACTGTGACCTGAGTCTCTCCGAGGAATTCTCTACCGTTCTGTTGGTTTCCTGGGGGTCTCGCTTCCCAGCCTTCTGGACCTGTCTAAATGCAGAACTATCCGGCCGTCCCCACCCCCCCCCAAACTCTAGGGCGGCAGTAGGACTGCACCAGCCATTAATGGCCATCATCTATTTTTAATCGGAAAGATCACAAGGAAACGGGTAAGTGAATCCCAGTCACAAGTCAATTTAAACAACATTCTTGGTGAAATTCAATCACTTAAAACTGAGACGTCTACGCGAGCGAGCCCCCGCCCGTCCGGCAGGAAAGCGCGCGACGGCTGAATTAATCAAGATCAAGGGGCTCCCGGGCTGAGCGCGGAGCGTTAACCCTTCCAGTACCGGAGGGTGACGAAGTGGGGGAGGAAAAGCACGGCTGGCCGGGGGCAAGATGCCCACGGCAGCCCCGACCAGGCCGCCTCTGCCCTTTGGGGCGGCCCCGGACGCCTCGCGCGGGGCCCGGGCTGCTGGGCGCACGGGGTTAAGGTCAGAAGCTCCGGAGGCTGCTCGGGCTGCTCGGAGCAGCCGCCTCCCGCAGCCTGGGCGCGCGCCTCGGGCTCCTCCTCCCGCCCAAGCGTGGCCAAGTGAGGACTGCTCCGGCCGCAGGTAGCTGAGGCGCGGGAGGCGGAGCGCCGGGGAGCGGCCGACGGGCGCGCGGACGGACGAACCCCCCAGTCTCCAGTTCCGGACGTTAGCAGAGGTCTGCGCGGGCCATGTGGGGACCCGGGGTCACGGCCGAGGGCCTGACGGTGGCGCCGGCGCCGCCGC